TGTTTCTGTAAAGGTCTGGAGAGTTGCATTGATTTGTGTAAGGTTTGCTTGGGGACAAGCAAACGGTTAAGTGTGTGGGAATTTGATAACACTGAATTTGCACATATTTTACCCCTCATTTCTGGATTGTTTAGCTTGGTTTTTATCATACTTTGGCCTATTTTACGCTAGTTTGTATTCCTTTGTCACATTTTAGGTCCTAGCATGTAAAGTGAAGCATAGGCCAAGTTTCAAGTCAATCGGAGATCAATTGGCGACTCGGGGGAAGAAACTCGAGCATGACCCAAAGAAGAATGGATTTATACCTCCTTTAATGTACAAAGAATCATGTAATCTCTGCATTTAAAGAAATAGGACGAGAATACGAGCGTCTGGGATCAAACGGCTACTGATTCGGAGTTCGGATGAGGGAGAAATGACCGAAAGACAGCAGCCTCTCTAGAGTTACGGGCTGGCTTTCAAAGTTACGGCCATGACCGTAACTTTTCCACTTTGGCCGTAACTTGGGGCCACGGGAGGCAGAATACATTCCTGAGGTTACGGCCTGAACCCCAAAGGTTGCGGTCGTAACTTAGGGCCGTAACTTGGCTTCGGTGAGCTGTATAAATGCGTTTTTGCGGATTCTGAAGGGGGGGAGTTGGGTTCTGGATCCCAAACACCCAAGGGACAAACCCTAGAGAGAGAGAGCACCTTGGAAACATTCTTGGAGCTATTTTGAACGATTTGTTCACCATTGGAGCTCACGAATCAAACTTGGAGATGGAGATTGAAGATCTAGATCAGATTTCTACATTCTCTCTCTTCTCTGTGGAGTAACTTCCCTTCACTTAGGTTTTGAGGAACCCTATTTTTATATGCTAGGAAGAGTTGTATGAACTCAAATTCATGATTGATTGACGTTTTATATTTAGCTGAGGCATTGATTTAAAATTACTTGAGTCCTGATCAAACTTTTGTTATTCCTGCTTTAACCTAGAAAGATAGTCTCTGCATAGGTTAATAGAGCAACCTCAATTGGAAGTACTGGATCGATTTCTTGAGTCAAGAAATTGATTCACTGCTCTGTATTGGAATCAAAGCCAGTAGAGGAAGTTTGTGTGTTTTACCTTTGTTAGCTTACGCCGGTGGAAGTTAGTCGCCCGCCGGGTATTCGAACCGAGAGGGGCTAGATAACTTTAGACGAGAGTCCAGACCAATTAAGAAATTTTCGCGGTATATCTGTCAACTGAATTGGATTGGGTGAATTACAACTTGGCCTAACTGCAGACTAGGGGGAATCATACCTAAGTGAGTTTCCAACCTGTAATTAGTAGTTTTACTAAGTGTAGTTAGTAGAGTAGTTTAGTTAATCAATCCTTCATCTGGTTTGCTAGATAATGAACTGAAGCTGAGTAATAATACATCTAGAGACCTGAGGATTCGATATTTATTACCTGCACCACTATACTGCAGTACCTTTTATTGGTTACACTTGGCCATTGTTAGCAGTTGTGTTTTAGCGAGTCAGGCCTCCACCTTTGTTGTTGGCCTCCCACTTCCTCTCTTGTTTTCACTAAATTCAAAAAGAGAGCCAACCACCACTCAATCACACCGACTCCCTATGAGTAGCTTCGCAAGTAGAAAAGCTACGCCAACGTTCCCACAAATGCTTCCTATCAAGTTGTTGTTGCAAGCACCTGCTAAACAAACAATAAACAGGGTCGGCTAAGCTTGACAGAGGAGTTAGAAAAAAGCCCACACAGACCCATTAGACCAAAAGCAGTAGAGGCCAGTGTTAATAATAATAAGTGACAAAATGTCATAATTGAGAAACTCATTAGAGCTCAAGACTTAACCACCACATGGCGGCAGCGCCCTTGCATGGCAGGCCACAACGAACTTCGTATACGTTGCACCAAAAAATGAGCTATTGCCGCCTACTACTGCCACACGACTTCATCTCAAGGCCGATCACCTCCACCGCCTTAAATTTATCGATTGAACCCTCATCGTGAATCGGCGGCACCAGCAAGGGAAAATGTAGGGATGGGAAAGTGCAACTTGGAAGAATCTTCAATAAATGAATCAGACAGAAGGAAACACAAGCTAATACCAAACAAAGGAAAAGTGACCACTTCGTAGTGACCCAACAGAGGAAATTCAGAAAACGAGACTAAGAAACAAACTAGATGTAATCCGACCATGAAAAGTGAAAACAATTAAGAACCACCTTGATCCAAACAATAAACATAAAGAAGTTAAGAAGAAGCAGGAAGTAGAGCCAAAAATCGACGTCAGAATCGTGGACACATATACCCAACCGTCCATTTAGACAACATAGCAAGATTGCAAGAAAACCCGATATAATGGCAAAACCATACACACAGGTCTAGCCGGTATCAGGCTAAAATCAGACCACTCTTAGTAGAACGTAATACCCAGCAAAGCAGAGCAATTGAAGAAACTAGAGCTAAAGACACGCAATCAAAATCAAATCAAAACATAGTAAAATATCACTGAAATCCTCCTGTCACCCAACCTATTGATTTAGTATGAAGAAGCGGAGGAGGAAAGGGAAACGAATGTTGCGAGACAAGGTGAAAAGATCTAAATTTGGAGGTTTCATGCACCGAATAGATATTCAAAACAAGCTTCAAACACCTTGGGAAGAAGGTTTTGAGCAAACCATCCCTTCCTTCTTCTTCCGGTTGCAAGGAATTGAAAACCTTATGCAGGGTCCAGGGAGATTCTATATTGTTGCTGATTTGGGGTAGACAAGGGAGGGGGAGGGGGGGGGGGGGTTAGCGCCGGCGACGGGTGACGAAATAGGGGAAGGGTAGCGGTACGAGGAGAGAGGAGATAACATGTCTTCTCACTAGCCTAGGTTAATTAGAGGGCTTGAACTTTGGATTTCCATGTACATAGGCCTTGGAGTTAGGGATGTCAACAAAATCCGAACCCACGGGTACCCTACCCGACCAATCTGGTCAACGCGGGTAAAACTCGCGTTAACGGGTTTCAGGCCGGGTTTGGGTTTAAACCCATACACTATTCACCGGGTTGGGTTTGGGTTTAGGGATATCCGACCCATGGATACCCACCCACACTTATGTCGTCGCCCTACTCTCCCTAAACCCTACATAATTCTAATTTCCCCCAATCTAACTCTCACTACACTTATTCCGTGTGTTTTTATTTAGTGTAATTGTGATTTGTTTGAATTTTCTAGAGGGGTGTTTTATGTATCGATAATTTGTATGGAAAAATTGATGTTTGAATTATATATTGATAGGAACTTGTTATTATCAATTTTTTACCACAAAAACCTATGGGTACCCATGAACCCACGGATACCCAGCTGCCAGTGGGTTGGGTTTGAGTTTTTCAAACCCAGTGAGTTTTACCCCGGATTTTTTTAACGGATAAACCCATGGGTTTGGGTTTGAATTTGGCAAAACCCGACCCAACCCGACCCATTGTCATCCCTACTTGGAGTTTCTCGAGCGTAGCTCAACTCGTAAGTTAGCCACAATAGAATAAATCCCGTTTCAAAATAAAATATAGTATCTAAACTCGTAAGTTACTCACAATAGAGTAAATCTCATTTCAAAATAAAATATAGTTTTACTTTAATGTTTACAACGGTTTCCAAAATTATTGGACCTGGAGACGAATAGAGGAGAACATAGGTACTAAACGGATAACTATTTTTGAACTCGGAGAGACATTTGCATTTTGCAATATTCTCATTTTTCTTTTCCGTTTGGTTGGGATTGGGAATTAGTAGTAGCAAGGTTGTCAACCCGCGGGTCAACCCGAGGATTGATCCGGATTGATCCGGACCCGTCCATAAAAACGGGTTATAACCACCCATTTGAGCAACAGCCCAGATCTAGTCAAACCCGGTGAGACCAGGGAAACCCGAACGGTTGGCCCGACATAAAGGGTCAGCGGGCTTGCCCCCTTGAGCGACACCATTTCTTCACTTCCTCGTTTTGCCTTTTGGTGCGGCGAAAACAAAAGACCAAAAATGCAAAAAACGATAGAACCCTAGTCCCTAAATCAATTTTGCGCAGCTTGCCTCTCTTCCTTCCATTCTCGCCGAGTTCTTCGTCTCCTGCAGCCGCCAACCATCTTCGAGTTCGTATCCGGCAGCCGCCAACCGTCGACGAATCCTCTCTGGCAGCCACCAGCAGTCGCCGAATCGTCTCCCGCAGCTATCGTTGAATCATCTCCGGCAGCCGTCTTCGAATCATCTTCGACAGATCGCTAGAGCCTTCTTCCTTCATCGGCGAGCGCGCTCCAGGTCCGGAAAGATCAGCTCGCCTCGACCACTCGATCGAGCTCCCGTCTCCCTTGCCTCCAGCTCTCCCTCCCTCTACTTGATCGCCGATCGATCTCTTCTGCCTCCACCGCTCGACGTCCCTCCCTCGATTGATACGGTTGTGGTTGTTCGATCGATCTCCCCTACCCGCGTCAAGCTCTGTCGCCCCTGCCTCCGGTTGGGCTCCTTCTCTGCATCCACCCTCCCCTCCATATCGATTCCCTTAGTTATATGTGACTATCCATATTGATTCCCTTATGAAGATGGGATTGAATTGTTTCTGTTTCTGTTTTTTTTTTTTTTTTGCCTATGATGGTTGCATTATTTACCCAAGGTGTGTTTTAGATTGACTGATTGAGAAAAGCAACTGTTGATATTGTTAGTACTTAATAATTATTTGATTTGGATTGCTCATGCGGAAGAAGAATTTCAGATTGGTTATGTTTAGATTGAGCAATGCATTGATATTGTGGAGAAAAAAGTTTGATATAGTTAAGCTGATGTTATTTGAGTGTGTTGGAGTTTAAGTAGTGTTGGATTTTTCTATATTGGATTTAGTATAAGTACAATGATATTTTCATATTTTTGGGCTAAACCGGGCTAAACCAAATGACCCATTAACTCTTGACCCACTACCTCGATCGGGTGGAGGTTGTACCTTGAGTAGTAGTAATGTTTTCCGTAGCACAGGATGTAACTAAAACGTGAGCTACAAACCAGAAGTAAGAAGTTCAGGGAGCAAAACCAGACCATAGAAGCAACTCGTAGGAACAAACAACCGCGTTCCAGCTCCAATTCATTGTGAGAGGTTTGGGGACATTCTTCAAAACCCTAATTTCCCCCCTTCTCTCATCACAGCTTCCATCCGTCTCTCAATCTCAACTGGTCAATCCCTAGATCGATGGCGGAAGAACCAGCATCCCCGTCGCCGGCTGCGGCGGCTTCGCCACTGGGCTCGTCGGTGATTCCTGTGGTGAACAGGCTCCAGGACATATTTGCCCAGCTCGGGAGCCAGTCTACGATCGAGCTGCCGCAGGTGGCGGTGGTCGGCAGCCAGAGCAGCGGCAAGTCGAGCGTGCTTGAGGCGCTGGTCGGGAGGGATTTCCTGCCTCGCGGGAATGAAATCTGCACGCGCCGGCCGCTGGTTCTGCAGCTGGTGCAGACAAAGAGGAAAGGCGACGGAAGCGAGGAAGAGTGGGGGGAGTTCCTCCATCGGCCTGATAAGCGGTTCTACGATTTCTCTGAGATCCGGAGTGAAATTGAGGTCCGCTTTCGTTTACCAAGAGTAGGATAATAGTGAACTGGAAATTTCTTAACCTAATGCCTTGAATAGGGCTGTTTAGTTTAGTTGCTCTGAGTTTGGTTAAGGAACAAGTAATATTCAGAGAAGTCGGGTGGAATGTGCTTGAACTAGCTTTTTGTTCTGAAATTTCGTTTACCTATCATTCTGGTCTTTTCTTGGCTAGGCGTTAGGTTAAAACAAAGGAATAGAACTCTGCCGTCACCAGATTAAAGTTAGCGTTTCTGTACCTGATTATGTGGAAGTAGACATTCTGATCATTTAATAGCTGGAGAAGTCAGTGTATTCATTAGAATATCATCCTTTTGATGTATTCTCTAATGCTGCTCGATCGTAACAAATTATCTTTGTGAAGTTGCTGTGCTGTAAAATACTGTACAAAGCCTCTTTTTTAACTTAAGGATATCGCTACCAGGCTCCGAGTCACATTTTTTATTTTTTGAGTTGGATGTAGGCTGTAACAGCTAGAGAAGCGGGAGAGAACAAAGGCGTCTCTGACAAGCAGATCCGTTTGAAGATTTTCTCCCCTAATGTTCTTGATATCACACTTGTTGATCTTCCTGGGATAACAAAAGTTCCTGTCGGTGATCAGCCCACTGATATCGAATCAAGAATCAGAACAATGATTATGTCATACATAAAAAAGCCGAGCTGTCTTATACTCGCTGTAACTGCTGCAAATGCAGACTTGGCAAATTCAGATGCTCTTCAGATTGCAGGAGTCGCTGATCCTGATGGTAGTTCCTTGTTTTGAAGCTTGACTCTGAATGTTTTTCATGTTTATATTATGTGGCTTATAATATGACGTTCAATTATTGGCAGGTTACCGTACCATTGGTATAATTACTAAGGTGACATTCTTACTTCATTTTACTTATAATCTTAGAGCTGTGTGTTATATATTTTGTTGTCAAATTAACATTTATTCTCCGACTCAGTTAGATATCATGGATAGAGGTACTGATGCCCGCAATTTGTTACTCGGAAAAGTGATTCCCCTGCGACTTGGTTATGTAGGGGTTGTGAATCGTAGTCAAGAGGTAATCATGGCCAAATATGAATTTTTTGCTGGTTTAGCTGCAATTAGCTGAAGTATAAAGCGATATATTTTTCCGTGACCAATGATTGGATGTTTCTTCTGGCTGATTGATTCATCATGTTACTCTAACTCAGGACATTAATCTCAACCGAAGCATTAAGGATGCATTAGCAGCAGAAGAGAAGTTCTTTCGCAGCCATCCAGTATGATTGTCCTATTCATAATTTCTTGGTGTCATTTTACTATAATTGAAGTTACTTTGCCAATTCTTCTATTGTATTGTGTATGGATGCGCTTACTTACACTTTGTTTTTCCCTTATTTTTTGTGTAGGTTTACAGCACTGTAGCTGATCGTTGTGGAGTTCCTCAGCTTGCAAGGAAATTGAACAATGTATACTTTCCTGGTCTTGATCTACTTATCTTGAATATTATGCGCATGTCTCCTGTGCATTTTGCTTGCATTGCGAAGATGTCTCCTTTTTATTTTTCCTTGATTTGTCATCTTCTTGTCTATGAAACACAATTGCATCCTTATTATTTGTTTTTGTAAGCTTGGCGTGACTTTGAAGAAATTGATTTTGTTAATGAGCTGATTCTAAAGACCTATTTAAAGAGCTTCATTTGAAAAGATCTCTCACCATTTCATACTTTTTGTGGTTGCTTATTTTCCTATGTCTCTTGCAGATCTTAGTGCAGCATATTAAAGCGATACTTCCTGGGCTCAAGTCTCGCATCAGTGATGCACTTGTGAGTGTTGCAAAGGAACATGCAAGCTATGGAGAAATCACCGAATCTAAGGTGTGTATTCTTTTGGCAACAGTGTTAGAACTTTATTGGTTGGTTCAGTACTTTTTGTTTTACTAGTTTTGGCTTTTGTTTAGCTTCTTCAGTGATCTCACTACTGAGTTTGCCAACTTTTATATGATAGGCTGGTCAAGGTGCTCTCTTGTTGAACATAATCTCAAAATACTCCGAAGGTAATTTTGTGTATCCTACTCCCTCTTTTTGCTGTGTTATAATACACGTTTGGCCGTTATAGTATCTGTTATATTTGGTTTGTCGTGTCCACATTGTCATCTTTCTATTGGTGCTGAGCCTTTGCGTGTAATTTTGTTTGTTGAGCAGCTTTTGCTTCGATGCTAGAAGGAAGAAATGAAGAATTGTCAACTTCCCAGCTCTGTGGCGTAGCATTTATTGAATACGTTTTCCAGTCAATTTTTGTCAGAACTTTAGAGGTGTGTATATATTTATATTTGCAACTTTGGATTTGTATATGTGGAATGTGGAGAAATATTCATTTAGTGTCGTTTTGTCTTGGTCTTGAGACAATTACATGCCTCAAAAGTTGGAACTTGGATTCTCTCTGATTTTGAGTCTGCCCCTTGCAAGTTCAACCCTTTGAATCGCTGAAGTTCATGTGAATCTCCCCCATGACTAAGCTTGCACAAGTTCTATCTATGTGTGCTTGCTCTGTGCCTTCGTTGGAAAGCTTGGCCCAGTGACTATTAAATGGAAGTTACTTGATCTCTTATGCAGGAGGTTGATCCTTGTGAGGACTTGACAGATGATGACATTCGTATTGCCATCCAAAATGCTTGTGGTCCCAAATCGTCAATATTTGTAGCAGTTGTGGGTGAAGTTTCTCTGTCTTTCATTTTCTTCCGTTATGTAGTTTCTGTTTAGTATAGATTCCCAATAACAATTATTTCAGTTTGTGTATATCCTGCCTTATTCATTTCACGTTTGAAGCAAATTTTTACCATCATTGATGCTTTTACTGCACAGGTGCCATTTGAAGTTCTTGTACGTCGGCAAATTGCTCGTTTACTGGATCCGAGCCTTGAATGTGCCAGGTTCATATATGACGAGTTAATAAAGGTCAGGCTTTCCCCTAGTGTGTTCTCTGTCTGCATCTGAAAAGGTTGGGTTTTTAGGTTGACTTTTGAATCTCCAGATTAGCCATCGGTGTCTAGTGGTGGTAGATGAACTACACCGGTTTCCTGTTCTAAGAAAACGCATGGATGAAGTTGTTGGGAACTTTTTGCGGGATGGTCTTGAACCATCCGAGACCATGATTGGACATCTTATAGAAACAGAGGTAATTGAGCTTCTTGCTTCTCTGAAGTCTTATTGGAGCAGTCTATGTGGTATTTCTTCCCCTCGTTTAGCTTAGGATCACTTACGGGTCGTTTGCTTGAGGGTTTTGGTGATGGATTTGGTCATGGAAATCTACCCATCATGGACTTTAACGGAAATCCATCGTTTGCCTTAGAGAATTAGGGAGATGGAATTTGTGGGTCCCGCCACTTTTGGGGTACCAAATCCGTGGACCCCACGGACTTGGAAGTTCCACCTCTTGAGGTGGGATTTGGGTGATGGATTAAAATCCATGATGGTAAATTACCTTTCTACCCTTACTTATTACTTTAATTACAAAGTTGTCCTACTTTAATTCAATGGTCATGCAATTATAAATTTTTATAATGTCGTATTTTATATATATGAGAATTTTTCATTTCGTTTTGTAATATCATAGTTTATTTAAATATGAATGTATATGTGATTTGTTAGATTCAACTATAAACATCTTATGCTCATCTTGTGCATTATTATTTGATTGATTGTCGGATTCCGAAATCGGGGAGTTAGCAAGAAGTTGATGAGTTGTAGCAATAAAGCGAGCAATTAGTTGCAATTGATACATAATATTGCGTACATTATTAGATGAGTTGTTAATTAGTGCCAAACTATAATACATTTCTATATTTGTAGTTGAATTATTAGTCCACATAGTGGTAAAGAGTTTAAAATTTCATTGTATGCGTTGGATTTTTTTAATGAAATTTATGGATTATAATATAGAAATATAATTAGATAAGATAAGGGTAACAAGGTAATTTGAATTTCATATCCACAAATCTATTCAAACAAAATCTATAATCAAATCCAACAAGCAAACAATAGACTTGGTCAAATCCATAATGCCACCAAATCCATCATATATCCATGGTTTTCCAAAACCCAAGTTTTACCAAAACCCTCATTTTTCAAATCCATGAAGCAAACGACCCGTTAGTTTTTTTGGTGAATGGCTTTGTATAGCTCTTTGTTTCTACTCTCTCCCTCCTTTTCTGGGTATTCGTTTGGTTTATCGAACAATGACCGGTACAGTTTGGTGGGCTTAACATCCTACATCCTAGCTGAGATGTCTTGGTGTGTACCGAGGATATGCCTGTTTCGTTTTGGCTTATGGTTCTCTTTTTTCATATTTCTGTAGATGGACTACATAAACACGTCCCACCCAAATTTTATTGGAGGAACCAAGGCTGTGGAAGTTGCAGCACAACAATTGAAGACTTCAAGACTGAGCATCCCTGCCTCTAGGCAGAAGGTATGCATTTCCCATGGAAATGATAATTTGCATGGATGTATATTAGATTACTCATTATTTGTTCTCATACGGTCACTTTTCTTTTCTTCGCTTCAATATATATTTCGTGTTCTCCTAAATAGGATGGTCTAGAAGCTGATAAAGCACCAGCATCTGAAAGGACCCTGAAATCTCGAGCTATTATTGGCAGGCCTGTTAATGGAGTTATGCCTGATCAGGCAAGAACAATTGTAGCTTTCAGGCTTTATCTTCCTCCTCCTTCTCTTTCCTTGTATGTCTTCTGATGTTATTGCTGTCATCATGATCAACTATTTTCGTATTCCCCCCTCTATGAGTTACAGGGGGTACGCCAGGTAGCAGATGCTGAGAAGGTTGGGCCCTCTGGTAAGTTGGGGCAAAGATCTGGAAATCTGTTAGTTTCTGTTTTTCAAGCTTAAAAGCTCATATAGTCATATAGCCTTTTACTGACCGTTGGATAAATGGTATTGTGATTAGGGAACCAGAGTGGGTCTTCTTGGGGTATTTCATCAATTTTTGGCGGAAGTGATAATTCCCTTAGTTTTTCCAAGGAGAGTTCAACAAGCAAAGTACATGTTGAGCCCACTCACGGGAATGATTATTTGGACAAGAGTAGCAGCTCCGTCATTCGATTAAAAGAGGTTTTGAGATTCTATCATCTAAAAAACAATTTTACCCAATTGTTTGCTTGAGTTGTACTCAGCTGCTGCTTCTTACATGCTGACTAGAATTTATTCACTGTGTATCCAGCCTCCAACAATCTTGAGACCCACAGAAGGCCTTTCTGAGCAGGAGTCTATTGAAATTACAGCCATTAAATTGCTATTGCGATCATACTATGATATCGTACGGAAGAACATTTCAGATTTAGTGCCAAAAACCGTCATGCACTTTCTTGTAAGTCCTTACCTCGTGGTCATATCCATTCTTGTGCTGTTCTTCCAGTTTTTCTCACTAGCTGCAGAATTTTGCTAAATGTTACCCAGTAATTCGAGCAAGTTTTTGAACTATTGGCGTTGCTTAGTTGGATGGTTTGGTGGCAGTTAAGAATATATATATGGTCTATCCTATGTTCAGCAAGGTGCAGCATGCTAATTACTCTGTATCCTAACAGTCGTAGGGTTAGAAACCTCCTATATATTCCTTATGCTATAAGGCATGAATGAGTTATCATGGGTTTTGATTCTTGAAATGTTGAAACTTAATGTAGTGTTCTAGGTTGTCCTAGTAGCATTTCTTGTCTCTTAATTATGGAAGGTCTTAATACTCAGTTTACCATTAGCGGTCCTACTACTCAATTGAAAATAGCCACTTTACGTCTCTCGCATTCTGTTAAGGTTTTCCGTTTTCCTCTCTTTGCTGCTTGTTACAAGTCTTCATCTTACGTTGCATTGTGCAGGTTCAGCATGCGAAACGTGAGTTGCACAATATTCTGATTAAAAAGCTTTACAGGTAAAATGCATTGTTATGTATTTTGATTGTGCTGGAGGTACCATCCAAATACTCATTTGTTCTCGTTTTCCCTTTGCGTTCCATTTATTGGCAGAGAGAATCTCTTTGAAGAGGTGTTGCAAGAGCCTGATGAAGTTGCGCTAAAGAGAAAGAGGACAAGAGAAACACTCAAAGTCCTCCAACAAGCCTTCCGGGTAAGTTGTACAGATGTAGTAACCCTCTAATGTAACATTCTCGTGCTTCTTTTTTTTGGCTCATATCCTTGTTTCGGTCAACAACAGACATTAGAAGAACTGCCATTGGAAGCCGAATCAGTGGAAAGGGGACACAGCACGGTTGCTGATACAATCGGGCTGCCTAGAGTTCGAGCAAACTCGAACGCAAACGGTCATCACTCTTCTCCGAGTAATCCAAGGTCGAGGAAGTCCTCCCACTCTGGTGAGCTACTGCAATCTTATTCCACCAGCGCTGATTCTAATGGGAGCAGCGGCAGGGGGGTGCACATGCCAGGTCTCTATCCTTCCGTCGATTGATTCGATTAAACTACGATCGATTGCTTTTTAGAGGTATTAGTAATATCTTCCAGGAACCATAGGATTGTCCCAGAATACATGTTTTGATGATAATTTATGCCCACCAGTGGACGGTGGGCAGGATTCGGGTGCCAAGTGCAAGTGGTCTATTTTCCTGGGTGTGTAAAAAGAAGATGCTCTTGGGAATAAGTTGCTGTTGGTGGTTTTCCATTGTCAGCCAGCAGATAAAAGGGGTGATTGTGTAAATTATGATTATGAGATTTGTTTGCCGAATTCCCATAAGAAAGGATAGGTGACATGATGACGGGGTTACTGGAGACAAACTGTAGTTGCCACTGTACTATTATCGACATTGATGCCATGATTTGGCGGGGCTTTTGATCTTTTGTAGGATATTCGATTTTCAATTCGGTTTTGTGGGAGAAGACAGGATGCGGGTTTGCATCATGCTATGACAAATGGATCGAATTCATGGATAGTTAATTGGATTGAATTGGTTTGCTGGATCAATTTATGAATTCAAAAGACATTCAAATTTTGGGTCATTATTTAAATTTTGAAAAGTTTAGGAATTAAAATTTATAATGAAAAATTTTAGATACCAAAATGTAAATTTTCAATTATATTGTTCGTCCGAAATGAAATTTTAGGTACCAAGATCCAAAATATAAAAAGTATAGGTGCTAAACTATAATTTCTCATTTGAATCCTTGGATCAACCTACGAAACCACCAATTCAATTCAATTGAATTTAAATAGATTAGATTAATTCACCAATTCAATTGAATTTAAATAGATTAGATTAATTGAATATTTTAGTGGATAATTAAATTGGATTTACGAAATTGGATACTAGTCAGTAATTACCACCTCTATTGTTGTTGATGTCGGGATTGTAGTCGACGTTGACTTCTTCTATCTTATGTACCGAAGCGGCTTGATGTGCCCTTTCATCGTAACCTTTCTTCGTGATGCTATCTCCGATCGCTTCGTGCAAGAAAGGGCTCGCCGGTCAATCTCGGCGGGGGCACCCTCCGACACTCAAGTTAGTCTCTGATGCGGGGGATAGATTAGTTCACAAGGTGTTTGCAGGAGGTGACGACCCTCTCAAGATCGTCACCTCGGTCTCTTGCCTTCCCTTCCACTGCAGAGTATGAGCTTGTTATATAGTGTTTACTTGGGGGACAAATGTGTGACAGGTGTCGGCGCCAGAGGTGAGAATGGGCACGTCACCGGACATGTGTCGTTGTGGTTTGCCTGCGCACGCAACGTGGTTGTGAACATGTCAACCACGCCTTTGCCTTATGAGAACACTCTTGCCACATGGAGACTGGTTAAGGAGAGTGCATGCCACATATGCAGGTGGGAGTGTAAGAAATTGATCCATGCTCGAGGAGGTGGCAGTAATTGTGGATCCGGGCGTCGGGAGTGATAGCGGGTGCGGGATGGGCGCTAGGTTTCGTGAGCGATAGCGGGCCTTGGTGTTGAGATCCGAGAGAGATAGCAGGGTTGGGCGTCGGCAGCCAGGCGAGAGGCGAAGCGTAAGTATCGGGGGCAAAATTTAGCCCGAGAGAAATAGTTCGCCGGCGTGTACCGAGAGCCGGGGCGATAGTGGGCCCAGTCGCCGGGCACCAAGAGGGAGGCGAAGCTCGGGTGCCGGGGGCCGGGAGCAATAACGGGCTTTGGAGTCCGTAGCCAGGCGAGAGCCGGAGCCGGCGAGTACTCGGGAGAGAGGCGGAACCCATGTGTCAGATGATATGAGCGATAGTAGCCCCGGCATCCAGGAACTAGGTTGGAGACAGAGCGAGGGTGCCGGGGGAAATATCAACCCAGGAGACAATAGTTCGCAGGCAGGTATCAGGAGCCAATCGGGAGGTTGAGCCCGGGTGCCAAGGTCCGGAAGCGATAGAGGGTCGGGGAGATCGCGGGCTGAGAGCGATAGAGAGCACGGGTGCCGGGAGTCGTGCGGGAGGCAGAGCTAGTGCTGAAGGCAATAGTGCGCTTGTAGGTACGAGAAGCCGGGGGCGTTTGCGGGCCCGGGCGTCGGGAGAGAGGTAGAGCTCGAGTGTCGGGGCAATAGTGCCCCGATGTGTACAAGAGCCGGGGGTGATAGTGGGCCCAAGCGCCGGGAGAGAGGTAGAGAGGCAGAGCTAGGGCGCCGGGAGAGTGGCAGAGCCCGGGCTCCGGCGGGTACCGGGAGCTGTGGGGATAGTGGGCCAGGGCATCGGGAAAGAAAGAGAACAAGAGTGTCGTTGTCCGAGAGTGATAGCCGGCCCGGCCTCCTAGAGCCGGTCGGGAGTCGAAGCCAGGATGCATGAAAAATAGTGGGCCCGGGCGCCGAGTGGGAGATGGAGCCTGGGGGCCGGGAGCCAGGGGCAACAATGCACCGGTGAGTACCGAAAGCTAGGGACGATGGCGGTGTCAAGCGCCAGAGAGCGCTACGATGCCGGGTAAGGTTGAAATTATACACCGGCGGGAGCTGGCGCAGGGCGGAGATAGCAGTGTGCCAAATCTAGATGCAATGATGCACCGGCAGGAGCCGAGAGCTGGGTGGAGGGAGGAGCCCGTTATCGGGACCAATCATAAACTAAGTATTGGTATGCACCAGTTGGCAGGCGCCAGTTACCTATGACAGTGTTGGGCCTTGGCGTCATTAAAATATTTTTTATTTACGTTAGGTATTTCAATTGTCCATTCGTCCGCGAAAATATAAAGATTTGGAGTGGCAAACTTGGTTTGCATAATACTAGTAAGTAGTACCCGCTCTTAATCTTGGTGAGTTTATTAGAAGACTAAATAGTTTGAATGTTGGTGAAAACTTTTTGGGAAGTGACAAGTCTTGGGATTGTAGAGAGAATTTTTCCTCCCTATGACTTTTGTCTTCACTATCCTTGATTTCCGTGAGTCTATTGGAAGACTATGCAATGTTGTTAAATATTGGTCAAAAACCATTTGGGAAATGCACAAACCTTGAACTTTTGGAAGAGAAATGCTATCTTCCATGTTTTTCCTCCCCTTCATCTTTATATAAATAGTTTTTCTCTCCCTTCTTCGTTCTTCGCTTCATCCTTCTCCTAGTTCTCCCTTTCTTTCATTGAGAGGAAAATTTCTAGTTAGTGGCGGTGGCAAGGCAGAGATTAGCTTGGAGACTCTGTTGAATACTTGATCGTGTCAGGTACTTAATTTGCTTGCATGTGCGGGGTAGGAGTACTTAATTTCCTTTTTTTCGCTTGCGTCTCAATTATGACATGTTGCCTGGTGATGTCGAGTCAGGGTTCCTTAAGAGGAGGAGTAGTCCCGTCGGAGGAGGATGAGATGACTTTGAGGGAGGAGATGGCGATACCGATACAAGTAGTCCCCACGTCTGAAGGATGGTGGTTCCCCCCCTGCACCGTTTACTACCTACGGTGACGGGTGGATTCCTTGGTTGACTAGGCCGGTCAAAATGGGAGCTAGAGCGAGATACTGTGTGTGCTCCTTGCCCGAGACTTTCTCAGAGGATATTGTGGCGGGAGAGTTATATCAGAAGGCTGGGTGGGGTGAGGACTTAACAAAGAGGATGGTTGACCTGCATGAGATTCTGGCCACACATGGTATGACAGATCAGTGGAAGTATGCTCTTTCGAGGCGTGATGCTAGCATTAACTCTTGTGCGTCCTGGCGACATTGGATTTTCTATGAGTCCCTCTCCTACGAGTTTCGTGTCCCATTGCTCTAGTGGCTAGGCAAGGTGATGGTAGATGCTGGTCTGGCCATCTATTCGGTGGCACCCACATTCTGGGCGTTTATGGCAGAGTTTTCGTTGCAAGGCAAATAGTATAAACCCTATCGTAGATTTTTTCTATGCATCTTTCACATTTCGACATGTCTCCTCAGGTCTACGTCTTGGGGTTTGGAACGTCGCTTTTACGGGCCCAATTCCTAGCGGTGTTCCCCTTTTGGGCACGTGATGAAGATAAAACATAAGGGATGGTATGATAAGTAAATCTATGGATCTTAAAATTACACTATTCACGATTTAAATCCATAAAATCTTTAAAATCTTACGATTTTACGATTCAAAATTTTGAGTCAATTTTACTAATTTTCCCCGAATTCGCAAAATTACGCCTCTTTTCGTTTTTCTCCACCAATATCATCTAGTTTTCTCACACTAACCACCATTGATCATCATCAATTCACATTACCGTATTAACCATCGATTCGCCAACTCTTAACATCAACCTTGATAAATTGGAACATTAAACTTGAGAATTAATCAAATTATCATTGTAAGTGTTATGTGTTATTCGTAATTTTCCTTATTAATCTATTTAATCTTCATTTTAGATAGAACTTAAAATCCTACGATTTTACGATTCAATTTAAGATTCCAATTTTACCCACATTTTCAATTTTACGTAAGAATCACGATTTTGAGTGCTTTGGCCAGGGGGACTCATGATAGGTGGCGATCCGCTTCCTGATGAAAGTGTGCTCGAGAATCCAGGGAAACTTCTCAAGGCACCCAAAGTTCCTTTAGACTTCGGTAAGTTTTTAAGTGGGCCCCCAACTGAACTTCATACCGAAGAACATATTAGGTCACTAATAATCTAGGCTTACTATGAGGGTAAAAAGCGTAATAAGATTCCTTGCATAATAGGTTTTGCCATTCTAGAACTCTTGCTCACCTTGCTTACTAAGCCATTTTCTTTTCAGGTGCTATGGATGTTGAGTTGTTGCTTTGCAGCATGGAATCCGTTCAAGGTGATGCAGCTCTGAGGGTAGGTCAACCCACATCTCTGCCACGAGGAGTGGAGATTCGTGAACTTCTATCTCATGATTCTGAAGGGCTCGATAACCACCAAGGTCGATGGGTCCACAAGAAGAGGATCACTACTAACTCATCAAGTCCTTCTCGGTTCGCCATGAGTTTTGGGGGCGACACGGGGGTGAGTATCACTCGGAGGTCATTTGGGAGCTCGGGCTTCAAAGCTAGTGGTGGATCTTGGAGAGATGCTTCAGGTTCGATTGGGTGGGCGTCTTTGGACCCAGCGAACGTGACTCCCTCCCACCCGACTTCAGGTAAGGCGAGAGCTTCTAGCTCACTGTCGACAATGTTTGTCCCCATTGGGCTTCTGCAGCACGCCTTTTGGAGGCCCTCAGTATCAATCATGGTGACAGTCTAGAGATGACCGAGTCTTTTTACCAGGTAAAAATTCTTGCATCTGTAAGTTTTAAATCATACTAGTTAAGTATTACTGATCTTCGTTCGTTTGCAGGTGGTGAAGCAGTCGGTGTCTTCCCATGTCCGGATGACATAAGCGGTGAAGAGAACGGACGAGACCTCTCGTGAAATAGATGCAAGCGGAAGCGGTCTGCAGGTCGGGCGACACGAATTCGTCAACTTGAGAGTCGGTTTCAAAGGGCGGTGGAGAAGTTGGAGGATGCCCGAGTTGCAGAGAGTCGTACGCAAGAGGAGTTGATTATGGAGAGGGAAAGGGCATAACGAGAGTCACAGGGGACGGAGAAGGAGAGCGCTCGAGCAGAGTAGGAGAGCGCTCAG